CCTCTGACATAGCAACACAAGTTGATGTCAGCCCCAGAACAGCTGTCAGGTATCTTCACAAGCTGGGCTACTATGGCAGAGCTGTGAGAAGGAAACCACTTCTCCGTCCAGCCAATATCAAATTGGGCTCATGAGATGGTGGAGAGACCTGTGACCTTTTGGAACACTGTCATTTTCTCGGATGAGTCAAGATTTGCATTATTTTCCGACAGTGAAAGAGTATGGGTATGGAGACTCTGTAGTCAAGAGTTTGATTTAGAAAGACTGTAGCCAACGGTGAAACATGGGGGCCTTTCAGTAATGGTATGGGGTGCAATTTGGTGTGATGGTCGCTCAGAGCTTGTGGAGTGTGAAGGAAACATTAATTCAACCAAATATGTTTCTATATTAAAGAAAGGGCTCCTTCCAATATTCTCAAGAAGTAGAATGAGCAAAGTCGACTCCCTATTTATGGAAGATGGAGTTCCATGTCACACTGCTCAAGCAACGCAACATTGGTTGAGACAAGATGGGATCAATAAACTTCCATGGCCAAGTCAGTCCCCGGATATTAACCCTATTGAATACCTTTGGGGCATATTAGATCGAAAACTCCGTAAAAAGAACAGGAAGCCATCTTCTAAGCCCGAACTTTTAGGATTATTGCGTCAAACATGGGAAGAAATCCCTCAAGATGATATTCGTGAACTCATCGATAGCATGCCTAGAAGGGTCCTTGCATTAAAAAAAGCAAAAGGGATGTCAACCAAGTATTAGTTATTAAATTTATGACCATTTATAATTACTTAATTTGTATAAATTACTTGTTGAATAAAATAAACTGTTTCTGTCAGCGTCTATTCAATTCTGTATATATATATATATATATATATATATATATATATGATTGGTGTATACGGAATAAATTCCAATAACGAACAAATACCATTCTTAAAAGAGTACTCAATACAGAGCAGAGGAAATATAATCGTTTATTTTTTTCCTCAATTTCTTCTTTAAATAATATTATAATTGTAAACTAAATATAGATTAAATTAAAATTTAAAATTAGTAATTTTTAATTTTATAGTATCATTTAATATTTATTAGTTAGAGTGAATTCTATTTTAGTCTAACCCTAACATTAAAGCATTAAATAATTATTATAACATAATTTCGTTGTCAAGTTTTTTGAATTCTTGTATACTTGTATTTTGGACATTCCAGCTTATGTAACAGCATTTCCCTTAGCGAGTGGTGTTTGATTGATTTGAACCTTTTGAAACCCTTTATTCTACTTGAGAAGTGTTGAAACGAAATGGCTATTTTTGTAGTGATTTTATAACATTTTTATGTTATAATTTTTCGAATAAATTTTCGAATAAATGATTATATATATATATATATATATATATATATAAATAAAAAAAAATTATATAAAATATATATAAAAATTAATCAGTTTGTCTGACGATAGCTAAAGCGTGAAACCCAGGGTCACAAACTCACATCTATCCAACCAAATATGTTAGCTCTATCTCTGATATTGAGCGCTTTCTAATAAGTACCACGCATATAATATATAAATAATTATACATATATATATTTATTTATATTTATATACACTTTTCACACACACACACACACACACACATATATATATATATATATATATCAGAATATAAGATATGTCAGAATTCGCAACATATGAATGTATAAACCCCAGATTAAAAAAAAATGAACAAGGTAGGTTCGCCGAGATAGGAACATACGAAAAGGTACCGACGAATAACAAACACAAGATTAAAGTTCGTAAATAAATTTTATATAACATAATATAAAAACTAAATGGGGAAATTATGGAGTGACAGACATAGATTTAATAAAAGAATACTTAACTGATATTGAATGTCAGTTCAAATGTTTGTGTTTCAGGAATTTCGTGTTCGAATGTTCGTAATGACAGAGAAAGTTGCTGTAGAATGTTCATATATGTTGGTTGTTCTTTTTACTGCAATGTGAAATATAGAATTCAGGAATAATGTTTGTGTTCCATTTCCCCTTGGTTACTTTATTTCCTCCGAGATGAAAGTAAGATGTTTTCTCTGTATTTATTTGGGTACGATATTCCTTTATTCTTTACCCATTAAATAGTCGAATGCATCCAAAATCTTCGAAAAGTCTATTTTTCTCACGAACTGTTGTTATCGGACCTCATCAGGAAAAATAAATCTACAATACCAAAATCTCAGTTGGCGATTCTTACTTTTTTTTTTTTTAGGTCATTCTGTTTGTTGTCAAGCGACCCTCAATTCCTTTCCTGCCATTTCTTTGAGGTCACACTGTTTGTTGTCAAATGACTGTAAATTATTTTCCTGGCGTTTCTTCGTCGAAAAAAACTCAGTCCAGATAGGGAGTTAAAAAAAAGAAAGAGGAGGAGAAGAAGAAACAGAAAGACAGCGCGTCTCTTACTAAATTTATTATACGTCAGATTTAACATTTAACCATGTCAACGTTGAGGGTTCATGTCACCATAGACACACACCTCACAACACAAAAAACCAATGGGTGACAAATATTCCGGATATATATATATATATTTTAACAGTATTTGAGAAATTCGATTTAAACTTTTCAAAAAAACCAATGGGGACAAATATTCCGAAAAGATGTATATCTTCTATCATTGAATTAAAAGATGTATATTAGGAAAAAAAAATAATGTTTTGCATCCATCTTAATAAAGAGACATAATAATCAGGGAGGGTAGAAATAAGATTAAGAAAAAAGTGACAGAATATAATATATATATATATATATTATATCCCATATAATTAAATTTGTGTGTGTTTGTGTGTGTGTGTGTGTGTTTTCTTTCTTGTCTCTTTTTTCTTAACATTCTATCATGAATTGTATTCTTTAAAAATAAGTTATTCCATATTAAACTTGAAGATGAAAACCAATACTTTTTAAATTATATAAAAATTTATTTTTTAGCTAATATTTTTGAAACATAGTAATTCTTATTGTGTGAAGAAACCATATTTTAAATCAGTAAATTTATAATATTTAAGCTCTGTTTTACAAAACTAAAAAAAAAAAGAATATCAATAAGAACACCGGATTATATATCTTATTGCTCTTTCTTTTAATATATATATATATATATATATATATATATATATATATATTTATATAAAAAATAGTTTATAGGTAATACCTATGAGTAAGCCTAAGGAGGATAAAATCCAGAGAGCTTAATGTAAATCCAGAGCAAATAATTTAAATAAAAACAGACCACTTTAAGGTCATATGTAACAAATTAATCTCTCTCTCTCTTCCCCTCACTTCCCTCACTTCGTTAATTTACATATGTTTAATACGCCCTGTCAAAATGTGTAAATTTTCTTTTCATTTTTGTTTGAAGTAAAAGTCTGATGATCCGCAGTCCTTTATAAGGGCTGTGGTGAAATAATTTATTACATGGAACCTTAAAAGTGGTCTGTTTTTTATTGAAATTATTTGCTCTGGATTTACATTCAGCTCTTTGGATTGTAACCTCCTTATGTTTACCCATACGGATTACCTAGTTTTCATAAATATATATATATATATATATATATATATATATATATATATAATATATATATATATATATAAATATATGGATATATGAAAATGAAAAATACAGAAAAAACAAAATTCTGAATATACATTATTAATGTTAAAATAAAATCGACGTCGGACGTTTCGGTCTATTTAAGACCATCTTCATGGACATTTTCATTTGAACATAATTAACATTATAACTTATAACAATTTAACACAAAAGACGATGGACATAAATAACAATCCGACGTTATCTGTTTTGAATTGCATATTGGGTTTTGTTTTTTTTTTTGCTTTTTCTTTCATATATATATATATTGAGAAAATTGTTAGGTCTGCTGCTAGGAAAGTTAGTTCACTGTGTCGTGCTTGACAAGTTTTCTCGCCAGAATCTAACACATTTATAAGCGTACCATTCGTCCACACATTAAATGTTTCTGTTACACCTGCTCTGGGGCTTTTGCTGTGTAATCATGGCAGAAGGATGGTAGAAGAGAAAACAAAAAGTGCAGTTCTTGAGGCTTTATGTAAATGGTAACTGTTAATCTTTGACTTGAAGAGGTCAGGATTATAAGAAGCAGTCCTTGGGTGGAAGCTGGCAGAGTTGAACTTATTAATTGAATTTAAAAAGAAATGAAGATGATTCATCCTTGTGGAGGTGACATGGCGGATTCCAGCTACAAAGGTCAAGGCAAGTCGGACAAAGGAATGTACGCCGTCAGGTCACTTACCATAGAAGTAGAGGCTGTGTCACTGAAAGCTTGCGACGATTCGTCCGAGGGGAAAGGACTGTAAAGTGGAAAATAATTCATCACCCACAAGGCCAAGTAGACGAATTTTGAATTCGCTCAAGGCACTTTTCGCTTGTAGAATTCTCCTCCGACCTCTTGTTTTCAGTTAACTTTTATCTTCAAAAATCTAAATGCAATGACAATCGTTATCTTCTTTTGTCCTCTCTGCTTTATAATGTTTTTCTTTTTCTCATATTCTTTTGCACTGGTTAATCGCTTGTGTCTTAGTTGCTTTATTGCCTTGCTTGGAGTGAAATGATGTAAATAAAACAGTTTTAACCCGGAAAAAGTTGATTCATTAAAATGTGAAGATTATTCACTCAGACGAAATTGCATCTATCTATCTATCTATCTATCTCTATCTATCTATCTATCTATCCTGGAAAGACTGATATTCCTTAAATTTACGAGAAAGATTTTATAAAAATGAAACAAAAGCAATACTGAGTGTCATATGAATGCCAAATGTCTCTTTGTATGCCAAATGTATGTATGTATGTATGTATGTATGTATGTATCTATCTAACCCCGACTGTTCGTATCTGTTATATATCTACCTATCGATACTGAAGTGAGTAATTATTTAATTATCCCTTTTGAAGCAATGATACCTATCAATCTATGACGATCTATCTATCTATCTATCTATCTATCTATCTATCTATCTATTCTTGTCTGTTTCTATCTATCTATCTATCTATCTATCTATCTATCTATCTATCTATCTATCCTGGAAAGAGCAGTAAGAACTACTAGACTTGAAAAACTATTTTACTGAAATTTTAAGAGAAAGATTTTATAAAATTCAAACAAAAGCAATACTGAGTGTCATATGAATGCCAAATATTTCCTTGTAGGGAAACGGTTAATCTTAACATTACCATTAAAATTTCTATCTATCTATCTATCTATCTATCTATCTATCTATCTATGTCCTTTTCTGATCTATCTATCTATCTATCTATCTATCTATCTATCTATCTATCTATCTATGTCCTTTTCTGATCTATCTATCTATCTATCTATCTATCTATCTCCTTTTCTGATCTATCTATCTCCTTTTCTGATCTATCTATCTCCTTTTCTGATCTATCTGTCTATCTATCTATGTCCTTTTCTGATCTATCTATCTATCTATCTATCTATCTATCACGCTACGAACTCTTTCGAAACCATCTACACAAACACATCTGTCATAGATATAATCACTTCTCCCACCGCTACCAACATAGAATACCATAGTGACCACAACAATCTGCTTCACTAACACTAATACACAACCACTACCAACAGGACCACCATACCCACATCAGTCGTTTCCAAAAGTTCGACCACCACCGCCATTGCAAGCCTCATCATTCAGTTTATAGCCACCGCCATCCACCCAAAGTAACATTAACATCATCCCATCAAGCCTACCGCCAACAGTAATACCGAAGCTACCAATTCAACCATCACCATCTCTGCTGAAACTATAGCCAACAAAATGCCTGCAATCAACATCATCATCAGCATTACAACTAAAATCAATATCACTACCAGTGCCACCAACATCTGTTATCCCGATCACTGCAATCACTAACATTACTACTAAAATTTTAGAAACAATTTCTTCATTCCTGATACTACGACCATCGCAATTCGTAACTCTCATACGATCCCGCCTCCACAAAGCCCATCACTAGCACCAAGGCCAAACAGCAGTCAAGCGTTCCTATAACATCCAGTATCCGCACTTTCATTCACATCTACAACTACCGCAGAGCATATCCCTTTTGCTTTCCGTCATTTTCATATGAGAAAATATCTCTCTTCTTCTTCTTCTTCTTCTTCTTCTTCTTCTTCTTCTTCTTCTTCTTCTTCTTCTTTCCCTCGATGTCTACACTTTTCAAGCATCTACTGGGCATTGTATGGCGGTCATACTGGCGAGATAAGAACTCACTTGGATGCCGACGTTCATCCAGACCCATGTTGATTCAAATTGACCTCATTCGTAGGGGCTAATGGAAGGTCGTGCCCGAGACGAACGCTGGGAGGAGCGTTGCATGCACTACACGATGGTCATGAGAATATATATCCTGTATCCATGCAGGCGAGTGTGGGTTACCTTATTTCTTAACATAATGTTGGATTTTATTATTCAAGACAATATTTTCACAATGAATATATTTGCAGTGGCGTATCTGGGAAAATGGTGTCCATAACAAATAATAATATCAGATACTAGCAAAATACTAATCAATACAAGCAAAGTATTAATTAGACGTATATATATATATATATATATATATATATATATATACACGCCCCCGAAAAATAAAATTCGGTCGAGCACTATAGAGGGGAAAGCGTGAATTTGTAAACAGTGATTGCTACTGCTGATGTAAAAGGTCACTGGCGTGTTTATTCTAAAATACGTTTCACCTTCTTCTAAAATACGTAAAAATTCACCTTTTATTTACCTCTCTATCTCTGATATTGGCACTTTATATATATATATATATATATATATATATATATATATATATATATATTTATATATATATATATATATATATATATATATATATATATATATATATATATATACACTGAAGTCAAAGCTTAGAGGCGACAGGCTGTTTCATGCGAGACGCAATCGTCCAGGCCACAGGTCTCGTGGCCTGACGATGCAGATCTGTCGATAAACAACCTGTCACCCTCAAATGTTGACTTCAGTGTTCACATTTATATTTACACACGCTCTATCTCTGATATTAAGCACTTTATCCCGTAAATATAGCATACCTTAAGAGTATATTTCTTCATATATATATATATATATGTGTGTGTGTGTGTGTGTGTGTGTGTGTGTGTGTGTGTGTAAACTTTGAGAACTACTCATTACAATATATTGGGGAATATTGCAGACATTTTAAAAAAAAACGTATGTATGAACAAAAAATACCTTATAACGAATAATTTATCAAATGTATACATAGAAATAAATTCGACCATAACTTTGACTTAAATAATGCTGCATGTTTAAAAAAAGAAAGTAATTTACTTAGAATGAAAATTCTCGAAAGTTACGCTATGGAATCTTAGAAAAATATGAATTAGCGCTTGGATTATATTCAATATCTCCTTTCCTGAAAGAATTACTACAAACCCAAACCGAAATCCATAACCACAAAATACTTAAAAATGAAAAGAAAGCGGTTAAATCCTTAACCATATGTTATTCAATTCATGTAACACATAAATCAGCCCCAATCTAAAACAATTTAAATATTAATTTACATATGTATGCATACAAATTCTCATACTAAATTTCGTTCATTAGGTATTGAATTGCATAACCTCACATCAGTGAACTTGCTTGACCTTTCCGCTAAGCTCATGAATATTCATGAGCACTCCTATACCAAACATTTTGAATAATCAAGAAATTTTTTGCTCTTCTGTATAAATACTCGTCACAAAATAAAATCCTTACATTTGCCTTGATATAGTCCCTCAGAGAAAAAACGCGGCAGCTAAGATAAGTTTTCTTTTTATCATTTTTTTTAATACTGTTTTTTTACAGATGTAACATTTTAACATTTTTTTTTTTTAGATTTGATAATTTACGGCCTTTTTGTGGCTTATTTAAGGCTGAAATTTTGGATTGTAACAAAAAAAATCATTTTTTTCGAAAATATTCTATTAATTTTCTTGAGGATAGTAATAAATTTTCCAGCTGCAACACTTAATATTTAACCCATATTTTGGGGCTATATATGTCTAGTTATGTATTTGTATGTATTTATGCTGAATTAATTATCGTAATATCTCTGGCAAAGATGATGGAATTAGCACGCTGTTATGGTGACCAATCTACATTAGAATATACTCTTCTTCCTTCATAAATACTAACCTGCGAGACTTCCTAAGAAGGGCAGTCGAAACGCAGTGTAATCTGATAGTTCGGACTGACACTTCTATCTATTGACTAATAACACTCTTATTTTGTATATATGTTCTGTTATTTCAATACACTTGTTCATCCTACCTTCTTCTTTCCGTGTATTTCTTTTTGGCCCCTAACAGGCCACAACACACACGTTTTTTTTAATGTTTAGCAGTAAATAAACTGATGGCAGATCAAATGTAAAACATCTCCATTTAATTGCTGGTTATCTGTCTTTATAATATATACCTTAACCTAGTTATTCCCATACGGTGCAGCACGCCTCAAAGATAGCGGAAGAGGATAGTAGGTGAGACAAAAGAGGATAGCAGGTGAGGCGGAAGAGGATAGCAGGTGAGGCGGAAGAGGATAGCAGGTGAGGCAGAAGAGGGATATGCAGGTGAGGCGGAAGGGATGTGGTGAGGCGGAAGGGAGGATAGGAGGTGAGACAAAAGAGGATAGCAGAGGCAAAGAGGGATGAGGGTGGGGCAAAGGAAGGATGGCAGCAGGTGAGAGACAAAGAGGATAGCAGGTGAGGCGGAAGGGATGTAGGTGGGCAGAAGGGATGGTGAGCAGAAGAAGATAGCAGATGAGGCGGAAGAGAAAGGTGAAGCGGAAGGAGGAGGGGTGAGGCGGAAGAGGGATAACAGGTGAGACAAAATGAGGGTGAGGCGGAAGGGGATGGCAGGTGAGGCGGAAGAATGTGCAGGTGAGGCGGAAGAGGATAACAGGTGAGGGCAGAAGAGGATAGCAGGTGGGGCAGAAGAAGATGGCAAGGTGAGGCGGAAGGATAACAGGTGAAGCCGGAAGAGGATATGTGGTGAGGCGGAAGAGGATAGCAGGTGAGACAAAAAGGGATAGCAGGTGAGACGGAAGAGGATGTAGGTGAGGCGGAAGAGGGATGATGCAAAGGTGAGGGCAGGTAGCAGGTGAGGCCAGAAGAGGCGGAAGAAGATAACAGGTGAAGCGGAAGAGGATAGCAGGTGAAGACAGGAGGCTAGGGTGAGGTGGAAGAGGATAGCAGGTGAGAGAAGAGGATAGCAGGATGGCGGAGGTGAGGCAGAAAGAGGATAGCAGGTGAGGCAGAAGGGCTAGGGTAAGGAATGACTAAAAACAATGATTTGGGTAAAACGGTTTAAAAAATTCATATGCCAAAAACAAATATGATTTCAAAATTTAAAATATTTTTATGGATTACTTGTAATTGCATGCATCAGTCCCAGTATAAATAGTTATAAATAATTATTGAACGATTTTATCATTGTGATATTTTCGTATTTTATCAAGTATTAAGAATATAGTAAATAGGCTCCACAAATTGGAGGGGAAAGTTATCGATGATAATGTTCTGACTTCGAATCCGAGGTTATCTCCCTTTAACCATCTCTCTGTTTTTATTTTTAAATGTGCTTTTTTTATCACATAATCTTTGGTGAGGCATGAGCACATTTTAATTCCGAATATGCTGTCCAGCGAAAAACGTTTGGGAACCGTTGCAAGGAATCTAGATTAAATTATTTAAATTGATGGTATAAGGTTTTCAATGCCTTTCAACTTTTAGAAATGTTAATAATATTCTTTTTCAATTTTCCTGATCTTAGATTAAACCATTGTAATATGAAAAAAAATATTTGAAAAAAAAAATTATTATTTCTAGACTTTACCAAAAATAGCCAATTCCAATTCCACATAACCTCACTTCACATAATTCCATCGAATAAAATTGACGCATTGAATATACTTGACGAAGCTATCAACACCAAAGTTTGATGTTATCTTTATTTGAATGTTACAGCTGCCGCTTTTCTGAATCTACGCCAGATGACAATTTTAAGTTGTGAGTTTCATTTATGAGATAAATGTCGTTGATAGTGGAATAAACATGACTATATATGCCCACAAAATGAAGGACTGTACTTATTCAAAGAAATTACTGTTCAAATCTTTGTTATTTATACTGTAACCATCAAGCCAACGGCTTCTCCGGCCTTCCTGATGGAATCTGGCATTTTACTAACTGTATTATTTTAAATGTTATCCCTGTCATTGAGTCTGCGGGTAGTGAAAGAATTATCGATTTGAAAAGAGAAATCGAAGTGCCGTGTTCAAATTCCGATCGATTTCATTTTTTTTTTTTTTTGTTTTTTTTTATTACAATTATGTTGACTTTGTAAAAGGTCCAAGAGCCTCGCAAATATCATTGGGAGAGGAATTCATTTGTCTCTTTTATTTCCGCCTTGATGTTAAATAACTGGGCTGATTGCTTTTAAAAATAAATTAGGCTCTGAAGCTTTTCTTTTTGACGATTCAATCTGAAATGCATCTCGCCATAAAATTCAAAACTGTTTAGAATTAAATCGTAGAGATGGCACGGCTGTAATGTGGATCTTTCCAACGTTACAAAAGCGATTATCCATTTTAGGATCCGCGTGAAGTAAATTATTTTACTGTTTTTTTTTTTTCGCTTTTGATTTTCTTTTTATACAAACGTGTTTTGGTTAGAAATTGAGCGGTTTTCGTTCATCACTTCACTATTACAATCAGAATGGCTTCCATTGGGAGTTAAAGTGGGCAATTCGTTTGAAATTGAATCCGTAAATACATACATATATATATATATATATATATATATATATATATATATATATATATATATATATATATATATCCCTCATCCAATATCGCAAGCGATGCATTGTCAGAGCTTTCTTGACTTGTTGGCTCATTAATTTTTCAGAAAATTACCGATGGACCGATCCTCACTAAATCTATTTATCTATCAAATTCTCTCATTATGTTTATATCTATGTATCTATCTATGTATGTATGTATGTATCTATATCTGTTCCTTATCTGTCTACCTGTCTCTGTACATTATCTGTTTATCTCTGTTCATTATCTATCTATCTATCTATCTATGTTTGTTAATTATCTATCTACCTGTCTATCTCTGTTCATTATCTATCTATTTGTATATCTTTGTTCATTATCTTTCTATATATCTATTAATTTATTATAATTTTATCATATAGACAAAACCATTTTACTCACTACAAAGATGAAACTTGGTTTCAGTGCATTTCAACTGCACTTCGACGGATGAGAATCGAAAATGGTTATGAACAATGCTGCTTGTAGGCAAGCCGTATGCGAAACGTTACTTCCTTTTTTCCATTTGTTTGAGAAAAAAAGTATAGGTGACGGAGTGAAACAATAGTGCTTTTTGATAGCAGTTTGGTGATGAATGGGGTGATATATATATATATATATATATATATATATATATATATATATATATGGGGGGCTGCGTGTGTGTGTATTGATATAATTGGAAAGAAGTGTTAGATTGATGATCCGAAGTTCTTAAGTATTTTTGTTTTTATTAAAAAAAAAATAAAACAGTGCTCGATACATAAATAGAGCCTAGATTATAATTATTTTTTTAAAAATATGATCCCATCGCAAAACATGTCGAAACTGGTCAGCAGTATTTAAGTTTAATTCCAATATAAAACTTAACCACTGAGTGACAGTTTGGATTCTAAAACAACGCTTGAGGATGAAACTGGTTTAGATTTAATATTGGAATATAAACTTTGAAACAAAGTAATTTCTGTGTTGGGATGGAATCATATTTTTTTAAATTATATATATATATATATATATATATATATATATATATATATATATATATATGTGTGTGTGTGTGTGTGTGTGTGTGTGTGTGCGTGTGTGTGTGTGTGTTGATGTCAACAAACGCTCATTGCCACTTTTGTAATATCAACGAATACTCGTTGTCACTTTGTAATAGCAGATACAGCTATAGTAAGACCGTTGAACAATACTGGTTTCAGACGCCTTCGAATAGCACTCGCACTAACAGTACTTGCTCGATAATACTCGCTCGAATAGTAACCTTCGAATAGTGATAAGTATAGAGGAATAGAAAAGAGAATAGCGAACAGTATAGAAATAGAGGATAGACTAGAAATAACGCTCATTTAGACGTCACGCGATTTCCTATATATACGTTTCCTCTATGGACCCGTGATCCACTTAATAATGGGATCGCCTGTGTTTGCTCACTGGGCGATCAATGTTCGAACTCAAGTGTCGGCAAGAAAAGCTGATCCTCTATATGTCACATATTTTCTGCGTTTGTCTTAATAAGATCATCTTAATCTTACTTATTATAAAACGCAGATTGTGTGTGTGTGTGTGTGTGTGTGTGTGTGTGTGTGTACGTTTATATATTGGATCGGATTTCCTACATTTTTCAACCGATTTTAACAAAACTTCACAGAACTACGTAAAATTACCTTGCGGTGGTTCTAACAGCGCCAAAAATTGGAAAAACAAAATTGTTTTTGCACGGAATCAATTTGAAAACACGATAAAACCTGATTCTGTCGCCAGAATGAAAGGGGGACTACTCCTATCGAGTTATACTTATTATAAAACCCAGGTTGTTTGTGTGTGTGTGTGTGTGTTCGTTTATATATGGGATCGGGTTTCCTACATTTTTTAACCGATTTCAACAAAAATTTTTCTTGGCAGGTATTGTTTCTTATTGTCTTGCACACTTTTTTTCTTTATTTTACATTCAGAATGCTTTAAAAAATTCCATTTACAAGACAATTGTTTATAATAAAATTCTATTCAATCGGTAGACTCATAACGATTGAAAACAATGTTTTTGTTTGAGTTTGGGTTTGACCAATTCGTAAAAAAACAAACAAAAAAAACTAATTAAGACATGCGTGTCCGTCAACCTTAAACGATAATCTTTGTCAATTTTATTTTTCAGTCTTTATGATGGTCGATGCTTGATCTATCTCTTACTGTTACATCCGGGCTCTACTGCTAGTTTGAAATAAGATATGTGAATAATACATAACCCATTCACTCGGTTTGGACAGCACCTACCTTGTGCTAAGCAATAAAATCATAAATTTGTGGGAAAAGAAAATTTCCTAACCCCTAAAAACGTCAAATAACTATCAGATTATGTGAATTTATCGATCTTTTCGGAAATTATTTTTTAATAAATAGGTTTAATTTAAAAAAAAAAAAAATTAATTTTCAGAAATATTTCCAGTTCAGTCTTTGAATTAAAATAAACATGCGCACACAGAAACATATACAGAATTTGAATGAAACTGAAACAGACATCCGTGTTACAAGATCTAATTTAACTTTTGATCTGGCAACAACCCCTGGTTAACAGTAAAGTTGTATAAACACAAATATGCAGCCTTTAGAAATAATTAAATAACTCCTTCTATATTGAAATTGAACATTTCGTCCAAAAACTTTGGGTTTTAAATGGACAAACTATTTAGATAAGAATTTGATCGTCTTACTCTCAGTAGAGCAACATATATATATATATATATATATATATATATATATATATATATATATATATATATATATATATATAATAAAAAAGGCTTAAAACTAATATTTTTATTATATCTTTACTCTGTCCTGGACATTGAGTTCTACCTGGATTCTATCCTCTTGGAATTTTTATTAAAAAAATATACATGTATGTGTATGCACCTATGTATGTAGATTTATATATTTTGCATATGTATGTGTATATTTACCACTAATATTATCTATCTATCTATCTATCTATCTATATATATATATATATATATATATATATATATATATATATATGTGTGTGTGTATGTGTTTTTGTGTTTGTGTGCGTATATTCTTAATCAAATTCACACCAAGGAAGGGAGTAAATCCTCTAAAACACAAGAGATTAGTGTGTGTGAAAGCATTAAAAAGCAAAACATTATGAAGGAGCGGCTATAGTAAGAAGACATTACATAACGTTCAACATTGAACTAAAATTTTTGAAGTTCAATGTTGCCCTGAAATCATGAACCCGGAAGAGAGTTCCACAAACGAGAAGTGCGAGAAAAGAAACTGTTAGCATAGAACTTGTGGTTACATCAAGCCAATTCAACTGTAAATCGATGGGATCTTGTTACCAATCTAGTGTTGTGCCTAAATTCATAAAGTCTAGGCACCATAGCAAAGAGTTCATCCGAAAATTATCATGGGAGTTTTATTGAAAAAGTACAAACAAGCAACTTTACGGCAATAGGAAGGTGACTGAAGTCAAGATGCCAGACCAGGAGCAATAATATATATATATATATATATATATATATATATATATATATCAAGTACACATCAAGTTCGAGCTGAGTTACATTCATTTTGCGCAAATAATCTTGGGAAAGTTAAGAATCCGTTTTCTCTTCCACTACAATGGGTTAAATAGCAAGGCAGATTAATTAGGCTCGCTGCTCAAGGCAGAGGATAACTCTGACTTAAAAATCGCTGGAAGCCCTAGTATATCATATTCTCTACAGCCATCGGCAAGACTATGGGGGTCACAATGACTCTATAATCTCGACTGCGGTCTACCTACGACTGCATTGATGTCATATTACCTTACCCACGTTTATGGAAGTCGATCTTAACGGCGTATCTAACCAGAGAGTTATCCAGATCATCAAACCTCACCACCATAGCAATGAGAAACCTGACTTCAAAGGAAATCGCTTTAAAATATAAGATGAGAAGGAAAGAACTATTTCAATTCGACTTTTATTGTACCCTCCTTTTTATTATTTTCAAATCAATTTAACCTACTTTAAAATTTATCTGAATTCTCGGAAGTTAACCTTACAAGTAGAAATAAATCAAAAATACATTATTTCTTACATACAAAAGAAAGGAACATTAACAATGAAAATTTTATACAAATGTGAGCAGCAAATAATCTCTGAAGATAAATAAAGATGTTATTTGTGTAATGCCGATGTAAATTATTTTCTTGCCTTTACCATGAAAGTCTCCTGGGTATAACGATGAACTACATCCGGCAGCAAAGACTCTGATCAGGTTTTGAGGAGCGTGTAACCACCTCTTAATAGCTGTTGTTCGCACGTCCACTCTGACCCAGGGTGGTAGTATCGGTTAGGGTCTCAGCTGAGGGCAAATAGTTAACCCCACTATGAAAATGTAAAAATAGGGTTTTATGGTAAAAATTGGTTTTTATAATAAAGTAGCATTTAATTTTAGTTTTTATAGTTAAAATAAGTTTTAAAAATAGATTTTTATCGTAAAGATAGTTTTAAAAAACTTGGTTTTTTATAGTAAAAATAAGTTTAAAAGAAGTTTTTATAGTAAAATATTTTTTTAAAAATAAGTTTTTATAATAAAAATAGGTTTCTAAAAATAAGATTTTATAGTAAAAATAAGTTTTATAGTAAAATAGTTTTTTAAAAGATAGGTTTAAGAAATAGTTTTATTTATAATAAAAAAAGGTTTTTAAAAAATAGGTTTTCTAGTAAAATTACAAGAAATACATTTTTGAAAAAACAAAATATTACCAGCAAAACATTTTTTCTTTGCAAAAATACGTTAATAAAACCTGATCTACAAACCGATTTCTTACAACGAGTAAATATTCTCTTCATTCCATTCTATTGTAAAAATCTTGTCAGCATTAAATAACCCATTCAGTTTGATATGTCGTAAGAACAAACCAAACCGAAAGTCTCAACTAAACAAGGTTTATTTCTGAAGCGTCCGCCAAGCAGCCAAAGGTTAGTGACCTTTTTTTCAGCTTAGAGCCATCCGCTCAGTAAAAAAGTCCCATTAAGAAGTGTTTTCAAAATGCATTAGCTACAGTTTTGTATGGTTACCAAACAAGACTAGAGAAATTACTCTGATTTGCAGTTTGGATTTAGATTCAAAACGTTCCTTAGAATAAGAATTACTGGGTCATAGATTGCCAGGTGAGGGAAGGAAACCGTTGAAGTAAAAAGAATGGAGAAAAAAAAATGTGGAATCGATGTGGGCAGTACAAATGATAGAAAGAAGTTAAATTAAGGGCATTTTAAAAAGACTATAGCTCTTTTTAGAAAGATAAAGAAAACAAGAAGAAAAAGAAGAGAGTTAAGATAAAAAGAGAGAAAAATAGAGAAGCCTAAAAGGAACGAGCTGCAACTGAATAAATAAGAGTGTTTTCGGAAGCTTTATATGGGAGAGGTATATACCCTTCAGCTCAATGGTATATACCCTTCAGCTCAATGGAATATACCCTTCAGCTCAATGGTATATACCCTTCAGCTCAATGGTATATGCCCTTCAGTTTCAAGATCCGTCAAATGGCGGATTGGTTGTTTTCTTGCTGATGTTTAACGGCATAGTAACGGCAGGGTTTTTTCTATGGTATTTTTTAATACCGAAATCTAAATAATTGTACACATTTTTTAAAAAATAATAATAGTTTTAGTGATACCACTTTTACTAGCTGGTGGAGAAGAGGTGGCATTTGCGCGTAAGTGAATATAATGGACCCGACTGGAATTGGATCTCGGCTCACCGATGAACTAATTCGGTGAACGTCCTCATTACGCCACCAGCACAAATTCATGCTTACAGCACCGGGTATTCCCAAACGGTCACCCATCTAGGTGCTGACCAGTCTCGACGTTGCTTAACTTCGATGATCGTATGGTAACCGATGTTTCACCTTGATGGGTCCGTAAGCTGTTGTCTATTTGGCCAAGCCTACGAAATCAGATACTTATATTTAATTCGACCTTGTACCACATCTTACCGCGTGGGGCGGTTGGTAGATATCCTGCCGTTGGAGATTCGTTTTCAGCTGTGCTGGTCAAACTCTCTGCCTGAAGGCAGAGAGGATCACGAGACGAAACTATGCCGAAGGGAAGAGTCTCGTCTCGGGAAACAGCTACCCGACCCCGGATTATTTGCACCCGAGGATTATTTTGGCCGAGCCTATGGGCTGGGATACTGCACATTAAATTCGGCGTTGTGCCACATTTGACCGCGTGGGGCGGTTGGTAGATATCCTGCAGTTGGAGATTCATTTTGGAATTCATTCGTCTTACTTCTAGCATCTGACTACTACGTCTATGCGCCACTGGCGAATCTTATATGTGTTGTTCTTGTTCTAAGTATTATCGTTCATTACCAACCTTCGTGTGATTATTCTATTCAGTAACCTTCGCTTTCACATCGGTGACTCGCGTTGGATGTTTGAGTCAAGCCAAATGTAACTTGAACGCTGATACTCAAGGCAATCATGCACTGCACTTTGTGTACATTGGCTTAATAATGTTAATGATAATATTAGGTATTTCCTTATAAGGAAATATTTAGTGTTCATTGGCCGAACAGCCAGTGTTACCGTCGGTTGAAATTTATAAAATCTTTCTCTTAAAAAAAGTCATTCAAGCACATAATTTATCAATTCCAATTGCTGTTATCGCTCTTTCTAATATTAATGAGGACTCCCTTCTTAAAATTTTGTTTGAATTAGTATTGCTCGTTAACATGTTGATTATGTAATTATTTTTTATTCGTGTTACCTGTGCTATCTGTTGAGATCTCTTTCAAAGATGGTACATTTTGCTTCATATTTATGAAGTAATGTATGTATATATATATATATATATATATATATATATATATATATATATATATATATGTATATATATATATATATATATATATATATATATATATATATATATATTTGAAAAACTGAGGTGGATAGATAAAATGACAGACAGACAGATTGATAGATAGATAGACAGAGGGATAAGAACAGGCTGAGATAGATAGATAGCTAGATAGACAGACAGATAGATAGATATGAATAGCCTGAAATAGATAGATAGATAGATATGAACAGACTGATATATATATATATATATATATATATATATATATATATATATATATATATATATATATATATATAGATAGATAGATGATAGATAGATAGATAGATAGATATGAACAGACTGAGATAGATAGATATGAATAGACTGAGATAGATAGATAGATAGATAGATAGATAGATAGATAGATAGATAGATATAAACAGACTGTGATAGATATGAATAGACTGAGATAGATAGATAGACAGATAGATATGAACAGACTGAGATAGATATAGATAGATAGATAGATAGATAGATAGATAGACAGACAGATAGATAGATAGATATGAATAGCCTGAAATAGATAGATAGATAGATAGATAGATGACAGACTGATATATATATATATATATATATATATATAGATAGATAGATATATAGATAGATAGATAGAGAGAGAGAGAGAGAGAGAGAGAGAGATATGAACAGGCTCAGATAGATAGATAGATAGATAGATAGATAGTTATGAACTCTAGCGAAAGAGAAAATCATCGAAAAAGAGTTCCAGGTTTTTGCTATTTTCTTTAATTTTTCTTCAGCAGACGACGCACAATACACAAACTCTTTTTTCGGCGTCGATGATTTTCCCTTTCCAAATAGATAAAGATAGAAGAATAAAGAAGATTCTGTGATGAAAGAGTGAAAATGCATTGCGAGAAAAAGAAGAAGAGTCAAAGACCGAGAAAGAAAGAAAGAAAGAAAGAAAGAAAGAAAGAAAGAAAGAAAGAAAGAAAGAAAGAAAAAATCGACGATGTGTTTTGTCCGAACGGTTAGATTTAACACACTCGTTGAAAGTTGAAAAGTGTTGGTATTTCTAGAAATATAACGAATGGTTGGCAACAGTTATCGAAAATGGTAGCTCTGTTTGTGGAAGTATGGATAGGTTAGAAGTTGTCTAGAGGGTGGGGGCGAGAATCTTCTTTAGATGGGGGCGAATGGCTGACTTCGGGCATGCTGGCTTTCGGCGCGATCATGAACACAACAGATTTAGAACAAAATGGCAAAAAGAAAAAAACAAAACAATGGCCAGTTATAAATATGTACAGAGTGGAAAAAAACGAAAGAAGAAAGAACATTCATTGGGAGAAAAAAATAAAAAGTGGATGAAAGATTAAAATATAAAGGAAGCAAGCAATTCAGATTAGAGGGAAAGAAACAAAGACAAAAAATGAGAAATAGGTTAAGATTTAAAATGGTGGCGGGATTAAAACGCTACTGGAAAGGATGAAAATTAAAGAAAAGGAAAGGAAATGAAAGGAAAAGAAAAGAAAGAAAGTAGATGAAAGGAAAGGAAATAGAAAGAAATAATGGAAAGAAAGGAAAGGAAAGAAAGGAAGGAAAACGAAAGGATATAAGAAGGAAAGATAGGAAAAGAAAAGGAAACAAAGAAGGGAAAGGATTCTGAAAAGAAAGAAAGACAGAAAGAAAGAAATTAAGAAAAGAAAATGAAATGAAAAAGAAAAGAAAAATGAAAGTAAGTAAAGGAAAAAAGGAAAAGGAATGGAAAGGAAAAGGAAAGATTGAATGGAAAGTATAATGAAAGGAAAGGAAAAAAAAGAAAGAAATAAAAGAAAGAATTAAAAGAAAGAAAGAAAAGAAAACGTAAGTTAAGGAAAAGGAAAAAAGAAAGGAATGTAAAGAAAGAAAGAAAGAAAGAAAGAAAGAAAGAAAGGAAAGGAAAAAGAAAAAGAAAGAATAGGGAAATGAAAGAAAATGAAAAAGAAAATGAAAAGGAAAGACAGGAAGGAAAACAAAAAGAAGAAAGAAAGAAAGAAAGAAAGAAAGAAAGAAAGAATAGGAAAATGAGAGAAAATAAAAAAGAAAATGAGAAAGAAAGACAGGAAGGAAAACAAAAAGAAGAAAGAAAGAAAGAAAGAAAGAAAGAAAGAAAGAAAATAGGAAAGGAAAAAGAAAAAAGGATAGGAAAATGAAAGAAAATGAAAAAGAAAATGAAAAGGAAAGACAGGAAGGAAAACAAAAAGAAGAAAGAAAGAAAGAAAGAAAGAAAGAAAGAAAGAAAGAAAGAAAGAAAGAAAGAAAAAGGAAAGGAAAAAAAAACGGATAGGAAAATGAGAGAAAATGAAAAAGAAAATGAAAAGTAAAGACAGGAAGGAAAACAAAAAGAAGAAAGAAAGAAAGAAGAAAGAAAAAGGAAAGGAAAAAGAAAAAAGGATAGGAAAATGAGAGAAAATAAAAAAGAAAATGAGAAGGAAAGACAGGAAGGAAAACAAGAAGAAAGAAGGAAAGAAAGGAAAGGATGTGGAAGAACCGCAAAAGAAAAGGAAAAGTAAAGAAAAGAAAATGAAAAGGAAAGACAGGAAGGAAAACAAAAAGAAGAAAGAAGGAAAGAAAGAAATAAAAAAGAAAGGAAAAAGAAAAAGAAAAAAGGATAGGAAAATGAGAGAAAATGAAAAAAAAATGAGAAGGAAAGACAGGAAAAAAAACAAGAAGAAAGAAGGAAAGAAAGGAAAGGATGTGGAAGAACCGCAAAAGAAAAGGAAAAGTAAAGAAAGAAAGGAAAATATAATGAAAAGAAATAAAATGGAAATAATCAAAGGTAAGAAAAAGGAGAGAAAGAAAGAAAAGACAACGGGAAAATAGAAAAGAAGGAAACTGGAAGGAAAATGAAAGAAAGAAAGTTAGTATTAATGAAAGAGAAAGAAAGAAAACGAAAAATCGAGGCAAAGAAAAACAGTCTAAAGAGAAGAGAGAAAAAGCGAAACAAATTAAAAGACAATAAGATTAAAAAGAGGAAGACAATGAGAAAACGATGAGAACCTAAGGATATATAAACATTCCATATCGTTAAATTCTTGTTACTGCCAAATATTTATGTCGTCAAATCTATGTTTGTATCGTACTGCTTGTCCCTCATTGACCACAAATACATATGTCCAACACTTCGATTAGTGGCCCGATGTGATATCCAAGTCGTCAGCTGCTGTATTTTCATACGTTGTTATACTGATTACAATTTAACAGTTTTACCGCCAGGCGCAGTATATGCACCATGTGGCCTGTGGCATATTGCCTCGTACTCACATATGCGTCGATTCCACGGTTTTATTTAAAGCAAAATAAAGAGCCACGTCACTGAGGAGAGAACACAATTATTCTGCTACGTTGTATAGTATTATATTTGAATAAAGAGTAGGATTCTATCCAAGAGCGAAGCAAACTCAAGATACCAGCTACGTATTGAAGTTGCGGAAATCAAGCAAATACGGAATTTTCAATATCCGGATATTGTTTTAACAGGTGACGGAGAATATGTCTCAGAAATCCGAAGCCGTATTCGGATACCCAAAAACTGATTTCCCAAAATTAAAAAAAAGGCAATAAAGCCACTAAGACGCAACTGGTTACCGATTGTTAGAGATTATGAGAAATGTACTATTTAGGAGATATGCCAATAAAAGAACAACAATTAAGAAAACAGAAGATAACGATTAACAGTGCCTTTACATTTTTACAAATCAAATTTGACTGGGAAGCAATCAGTCGGAAGAGAATTCCACAAGCGAGAAGTGCGATAGAAGAAACTTCTAGCATAGGACTTACTGTTTAGTCATATCAAGTATAAAGTGATGAGATCATGCCGCATCGCATTATGTACAACATATCTTTAGTTGTAAGCATAAAATTACGTACAACATATTAGGTATTAAAATCTTTTTTTACACTTTCATATTGATTGACCCCAGGTTTGGAGTTAACTATTCGCCCATAGCTGGGACCCCAACAGGTGCTACCACCCCGAACCAGGGCGGACCTGGGAACACCAACAATTAATAGGTGCTTCCACGCTCCTCAAAATCTCCTGATCAGAGAATTTGCTGTTGGACGTAGTTTATCATCTTACCCAGGACATGGATGTAGTTTATCGTCATACCCAGCACTGAGTAGGTCTGTAGAATACTGCGCTTAAATTCATAAAGTCTAGGTACCATACAAGAATCTTCGTCAGAACAATTATCATGAAAATATTTATTGAAAAGTTACAGGAAGCTACTCTACAGCGATGGGAATGTGATTGAAGTCGAGATGCCAGATCAATACCAAAAATAACGCAGATTCTCCTTTGGATTTTATCAAGAATCCCTAAATATATAGCAGGAGCACCAGACAATATGGGGTTCCAATATTCAAAGCAAGGTCGAATGGTAGATTTCGAAATATGTAAGATAGATTCTGGTGAGAAATAAAAGTCTATAACAACATAGCGAATCCACTTTCCATTCTGCAGACTTAGCAACTGATTGAATATACACTTTCCATGTCAGCAGATTAATGTTAGCCTGAGAAGGTGCACTGAGTCAATTACATAGAGGTTAGCAGCTGCCATACTGATGGAAGCTATAAAGCTTGTGTTAGTCGATTTAAAAAATAAACAAGAAAATTTCGTTAGAAACAAAGAAAAGTGTGTTGAACTGCCATGTAATATCAATCCTCCGCTAGGACAATGAATGCTGGACAATTTCTTCACACTTCAAGAGGATATTTCGGGCAACAGATATATAGGTCTGAATTTTGGTTTGGTTTAGTTTGTTTTACGGCATATCAACCTCAATGGGTTATTTAATGCCGACAATCTTTATTGCTGGCATCATCTTCTCCTTCAAAAATGTATTGCTGGTAATATGTTTTTCAAAAATGTATTGCTGGAAATAATGTAAAATAATGTATCGCTGATAATAATTTTTTTTTTACAAAATGTTTCTGGTATTAAAATCTATTTTTACATTTTCATGGTGTTTTGACCCCAGTTTGAGGGTTAACTATTTGCCCGTAGCTGGGACCCCAACAGGTGCTACTATACCGGGCCTGGACGGACCTGGGAACACCAGCAATCAAGAGGGGTTTCCACGCTTCACAAAACCTCCTGATCAGAGGCCTTGCTGCTGGGCGTAGTTTATAGTCATACCCAGGATGGTGTAGTTCTGCAGAAAGAAGCTGAGAATACTATGAACTGAAGATATGAGCAAGAAAGAAATATTGCAGGAAAATGTAAACATAAATAACTTATAAACATAATTGGAAAGGGAATTGAAATGTCTTGGACACAAAAACAAAACACGGTTGGAAAATTTGCGACTAAGAATTTCGAAACTTTATTTCGTCCATCGCGGTAGATTGTTCTAGTGCCACGTGCCATGCCTCTTACAGATGTCTCAGTTTTCTCCCTTTAACTCAACTCTCCAAGTTTTTGTCCTTCACTGCAGTAGCCAGGTACTGAACTCACAACTAGGTAGACGAAATAAAGGGTTTAGTTCGACATTCTAATCACCTGAAGAAGGCATGAGAGTACAACTACCGAAACGTCGAGAACACGACAATAAAAATGAGTACAACAGCCCGAACAATGTAAATAATGTAAATGATTACAATACCTCATCTCAGAAATATAGAAAGATTCTGAAGAAGGCCGGAGCTTTCAACGGCCGAAACGTCGTGAATATGGCAACAAAGATGAGGACAACAGTTCAAACAATGTAAATAATGTAAATAATTACAATACCTCATATCAGAAATATAGACAGATACTAAAGGATAGGAAGTAGTGAAATACCATAGCCACCTTTCTTCTTAAGGGATGTCACAGAAAAGAAGTTAGAATAATAATTCTTTGTCATACACTTTGTCATACAGTTTTCCCCATGAAATTATGTACAACATATCTTTACTTGTAAGCATCAAATTACGTACAACATATTTAGATTTCGGCATTAGATAACCCGGAGTTAATATGCCGCTAAACAGAATCAACCAACAGACCAATAAGATTGTAGAGTAGTTTTTTTTCCGAAATTACCATGTATAATACGCATTTTTTCTAAAAAAAAGAAGAAAAATCAGAGGTGCGTATTATGCACAGCTACAAAAACCTTTAAAAATTTTGCCGTAAAATGAAATATTATTTAAGATTGCAGACATTTTCTATCGATTAATTTTACGCATCGCCTTTTCCAAATTACTAACGAAGCTTCTCAAACAGGGAGGAAATTCCGTCAAGAATTGTCCGAATCTATGTATGTAGTGATTTTCCAAGCGTAGCTTAGATGTGGCACAAGGCCGAAATTAGGGGGCACCCACTGAGAAACCGAATCTATGTATGTATATCAATATAGTTATACTATATTGATATACTGTATATTTAAATGCATTTCTAAAAATATATCAGAAAAGATTTCTGCAATCATATATTATTATATAATAATATCATATATTATATATTATATTATAGATAGATATAAGTGTAGATATAAACTAAATAAATAGATATTGTCAACACTATATGCGTGCTTTAACGTACATAAGCAGACAAGCGAATAAATATTTACTTAATTTAATATAAGGGGTAAACAAAACACTGCTCAATGTAGTTAAAGCTTAGAAGTATATATTAATAAATATACATATACTTACATTTGTAGTGCAACATAATGTTTCATGGTTTTCACAAATCGTCAGGCTTAAGTATTTCATTGATCAATTCGTGCCTGACGATTTGCAAAACCATGAAACTTTTAAGTTGAACTACAAACGTAGATGTATGTATATTTATTAATACAGAAGAAAATATAACAAAATAGCAAACAGCATCTATACCAAGACAGTAACAAAACACTGTAATTGTACAAATAAAATAAAAATGCCCTCTAGAGGGAAAGTGCAAATAGAAAAAAAACAAACATATTATATACGGCTATACTAAACTTAGCAAACCCAGGTGAGTAGAATGTTTACATCGGAGCAAGTGGAAAAGAACTGAAAGAAGAATATGCAAAGAATATGCTATCATTCAAATACAAAAAGACATAAAAATAATACTATTCCTGATCGTAACTTCATAGAGTCTAGGTACCATAGAGTAAATTCCATCAGAAGAGTTACCATGAAAATGTTTATAGAAAAAGGTACAGGAAAACTCCTTTACGGCGTTAGGAAAGTGACTGGAGCTGAGATGCCAGACGAGGACCAATAAGATCGTAGATTCTTCTTTGCATTTCATTAAGAGTCTCTAAATACAAACCATAAGCACCAGACGTGGCAGCACTATTCAAAGTATGAACGAGTGGTATAAACTAACTTTCCTATCAACAGACCTATCAATTGATTCAATATAATCTTTACAATACATGTCATTGGTAAGCGTTACCTAAGGAAGTCACGGTTTACGGGCATATCACGTTGAAACATCGGTTCATGTAAATTCACCGAAGTTAAGCAACGCCGTGTCTATTCAGTCCCTAGATGGATGATTGCTTAGCAACGCCAGGTGATATAACCTTGGATGTGAGGGTGGTGTAATCGATAACGACTTGGAACACGGAGAAACGTGTTCGAATTCCAGTCGGGTTCGTTATATTCACTTACGCGCATGTATAATTGCGAACATTAAGGGTGCATCACTTCTTTCTCTAGCTATACGTTAATTAATGAAACTATTGTCAATAAAAATCATTGTTAAATCCCAAAACTTCTTATAATCTAAAAAATATTTTCTGACTTAAACAAAAGAAAGTTGATAAACCGTAAAAACAGTCAATCAAACGAGAAGGCACCAGGAGTCACTCTCATGCTGATGAAGGTAGAAAAGGTGATCTCTGATTATTAAAAGGTAGCCTTTTTGTTTTCATATATATATATATATATATATATATATATATATATAAAAAGGATAAAACACTAATATTCTATGGTCATAATTTATTCCATTGGAATCGTAAATACGATAGTGTTCAAGCCTTTTTATTATATCCTTACTCTGTCCTGGACATTGAGTTCTACCTGGATTCTATCCTCTTGGAACTTTTTATTCAAAAAATATATATGTATGTGTATGCATCTATGTATATATATTTATATATTTTGCATATGTATGTGTATATTTACCAGTAATATTATCACTATCTCTCTCTCTCTCTCTCTATATATATATATATATATATATATATATATATATTTATTTGTGTATTTATATATATATATATATATGTGTGTGTGTATTT